AGACAAATAGACGGTATTGCCATAGATACTCCAGTAAGGCCTATTTTGGCAGATTTCTTTCTTGCTAAGCTTGAAAATGGTCTACTGAAACAAGTTATAGATAAAACTGATTCTTATACAATTGGTGGATGGTGGCTAGCAGTGGAATCCAGGATGCGCATCTCGTCCTATTTGGGACTCGTCATCTGGATGTACCTGCATTTCTCAGTGAGTGACGATGTTCCCACCGAGGCTCGAACCCAGTGCCCATAGTTTCAAACGCCAAAGCGTTATCCATTAGACCACTTGGGCCACGACAGCCACCTCTTGTGCAACGGGTCATATTAATTATTGAATTGAATTTTGGATTTTGATTTGAAATTTTGATTTGTATACAAATCAAATCCCCAGACATCGTCGAAGCATCTGTACAAGAAGCCGACATGTCAACCTAAGACCGAGCACTTCGGTCCAATCAATCGACGGGAAAATCAAAAATTCAATTCAATAAAAACTGATTCTTATTTTCGCTATGTTGATGATACGTTTATTATTTTGATGTGAAAGCTGGCAAGTATGAAATTTCAAAAAATATAGTGATGCACATACATCGTTAATCTTCACTTGTGGAGAAGAACATGATAGTAGACTACATTTCCTGTATGTCTATAGAATACACACGTCTGTAGGACAACATAGACAATCCGATACAAACTCAATTTGTTCAGATGCCTTACGAATAGAGCAAGACTTATCTGTACAGATGACTTCCTAGAAAGTGAATTAGGATACGTTCAAAATACTCTGGTCCAAATGGGTTATCCCAGTAGATTTCTAGGGCGACACATGAACACCAGGTACAGTTAAGAGAAACTGACAAAAGTTGAAAAGAAACAACTGTTCATGAAGTCGCAATGTAATGAGGACGTGGCTAGCGAAGTCTTACATCTGAGATTATCAAGAGCGATAAAACGAACTTATACTACCACCACCCTTTGTTTGTCATTTTCCAGTTGTGATTGCTCAAATGAAAGACAAGCTACCTAGCTGGGCCACTTCTCTATGTATCTATAAATTTAGTTGCTCCTGTGGAGAGAGCTATATAGGGCGAACATCTAGAGAGCTTAACAAAATTTCTCGTACTACTGAGTTAAAAAGGGACCGTTTCCTTCAGAAGTTCTTTATGAGCTATCAACTGACGAACGCTAACAATTTATGGAATATATCGAGAAACAGTTACAGTCCACGAATCTCACACATCTTCAACCAGATAGTAGGATAAAAGAGATTTCTGGTCGATTACCATAAATATTAAACTATGGAAACAAACAAAACAAGAACCAATCCCTAACCAACAAATATGCAGGAGAAAGTGGTGATGGATAGGACACTCGCTGGCTGAGGAGGCCACTGGGTGACATCGCGTGCGCGTCAGGCCATTGCTCGAGTGGAATCAGGCCGAAAGGGAAGCAGGCGGCGAGTGGGACGTCCAAGGGTGACATGGGGGAGATCGTGTGAAGAAGAGTTGAAACATTATGGACTGAGATGGATGCAGGTGAAAAGTATAGCAGAAGGAAGACAGAAGCAAGTGGAGACGTGCAGCTGAAGCCATATGTTCCACTAGGAACCCAAGGGAACAACAACAACCAATAATATGAGTTTAAATTAACCCTGTGTTATTCTCTGGAAAACTCAGCTACAAGCTATGCTACTGGAATCTAGGTCCAGCGACAGTGGACTCAGAGTCAACAAATTACAAGTACAGTTTGAAATCAAAATCCTCATCAGCTAGATCTTGGATGTCATATCCGCATCACTGCAGGAGTTCCAACACTTCAGCCTAATAGTTCTTCACTGCCATCAACTTCTTAATTCAGAAAGTCGCTCGGATAATCCGTTGAGCAGAGAGCACATAGACGAACTTAAAAAATTAAAGGAGAATCATGATACTGTCTTAAGCCTCCACACACATCAAGGCCACTGAAGACCACTGCTACCAAAATTTCAAATCTCTTTAGCTTGAAGCTCTATGTTCCACTTGGAAGGTTAAGGAATGAAGTAAAATAATTTTTTAAAAATGTTATGGCTTTCCCACTTCTCCCCTATCAAATTCACTGACACTAAACCAAAAGGTTGTTATAAGACATAAACTAGGTTGGGACTAACAGCTTTTTTCTCAATATCCTAGTTTTCATGGAAACGATATGGACTATGCTGTCGCCTTCATAACATCGTTTCAAGAAAAAATTCCTTTAAATACAAAGATTAAGATCAATTTAACAACTGCCACCCCGCGATTCATTTCACGCTGGAGAAAGAGTGGAACTCCAAAATATTCTTTTCTTGACGTCCAACTAACAAGTCGAGAACAAGATGAAACACTGCAAAGATCTGTCTACAGAAATTCGACGTGGAGCGGACAGCTTAATGACTTTCACAGTTAGGTACCTCTATACACCAAACGAAATCTGATCCATTCATTCAGCTACACAGTTCGCAGAATTTGCACTCCGGACACCATGGAAGATGAATTGGACAATGTCAAGAGAATCCTCGTCGAGAATTGTTATCCATGGCGATTTATTGCAAAATCAGAAGCCGCCCACGCTTAGCGTCCCGAAAACACTAGTCTACATGAACCTTCAATTCAATGGAGATATATCTGCGGAAACACTAGAAAATCGACTGCCCCTTTCACCTAAGAAAACCTTCTACGCAGATGAACTACGATTAACCTTCTCCATGAAACCTATGATTCATGTGAGCGTGAAGGATAAGCTACCACTCATGGCTTCATTAATGTGTATATACCAATTCACCTGCTCGTATGGAGCCAGGTATCTCGGCCGTACCCAGCGTCTGCTTTCCAAACGTATCAGCGAACAATTACCAACATGGTTTTACAAAGGAGAAAAACGGTATCCCCACAGCTCCATCACAGAACATCTGATAGATTCCGGACACCAAGCTACACCCCAAAAAAACTTCAAAGTCGTCTACAGAGTAAGAAGTAGTCTTCCTAAAGGTGTACGAATCAGACTTTTTCAAACTGCAGGAGCAATGGCCATTCACTTGCTAAGTCCCGAATTCTGCATACAGAAGAAGTTCGTTCAATCACTACACTTGCAATGGACGTAATCTAGCCTTTTTATTAGTATTATTTTGTCTTTATATTTGTAATATTTTACATTTTCAACTTTCCTATTCTCTACCCCCATCCGATTTAATTTCTACACCCGATTACCACAGTTACTGACTTGACCAACGCTCATTTTCTAGTCATTTTTGCTCAATTTTTTGTCCTCATTTAAGTGGCATTATTCTTTACCCCACCTCTACTTAGTCTCTGCTTGTAATTGCCTCTGTTGCTGTCCTGACCTAAGTTGAAACTTTTAAGTCATCTAACTTAATAACTCAATCTTACTTTAGTTGTTGTCTAATTAACCTTGTTTCTATATTAGATCATTCCTGTATAACCTGATTAACTATCTAAATTTGACAAACCTCATGTACACACACGCGCAAATGTAATTATACATAAATGTGATTGTACAGCCATGTGAATGAATTCGCCGGCGAAAAAAGTCTTTTCGCTGAACATCTCTTTAATTATGAAATAGTTAATTTTGTACAAGACATAAAGTGTCTTTAACCTTTTGAATGTATGTGATCTAGGAGGTGTGTCGTTAAAAATCAGTCCAGTTAATTCTTAGCGCAATAAGGGTTGATGTTAATTATTAAATGAGGGTCGGAAATTCAATGAAAACAAGCTGGTGGGAACTTTAACCTGTGTTTAATAATGATCAGCTGCATTACTTATTTTCTGATATTATTCCGATAACATTTTATTTTATTTCTTTTTATTTTTCATCACAGCTTGATTTCACACAGTATTTTTCGGTACAGGTGTGGAATTTCTAACATGTGATATAGGTAGCCCAATTTTTCCAGACCTACCATTGTGCACGGTAGGTGACAGTCATAACTTCTGTGCCATCGACGCATATGAATGAATTACGTTTTCATCATGAGTTGATATAAGTTACAGAACCATTGGAAAACCTACTGGAAGTACTGGACAGCTGTTTCGTCGTAGTTTGGAACTCTTAAACAGTACGCGCTCAGCGGGATTCGAATCCAGGACCTTTTGGTTACAAGGCGGGCTCATAAGCCATCAAGGCACTGGGACCTGATCGTATTGCCAGCGTATGAATTTTAAATTCTGCCAATTCACGACATAATGCGACGACTTTGCAATGTCTTCTTTGATTAGTTGCTGCCTCATCTTCAACCTGCTCTACCCTGCTGGTTACGGCTTCCTACAACAACCCCAGGGCCAGTCGCTAGCAAGCATCAGATTAATTTTCAAGTAATGGTTTTGTAGGGATTTAATTTGATTGGTTAGAGTATTTCATCATGAGAATTAGAATTCATGGTCCATTGAATCAGGTCCCAGTGGCTCAATGGTCTATGAGCTCGCCTTGTAACCAGAAGGTCCTGGGTTCAAACCCCGGTGGGTGCGTGCTGCTGAAGATTCCCAAACTAGGGCAAAACAGCTGTCCAATGGTTCTCTAACTAATGTCAGCTCATGATGAAATCCCCATTCAATCAAACGAAATCCCTACAAAACCAAAACTTAAAAATGACATTTTTTTTTCAAAGAGTAACGCACATCACAAACATATCGACCTGAAATATGAGTAGGGGTGTAACTCACTCAATCTGGGTATCCTTGACATTTCTCTTTTGTTCACTAACTTGAAATTAGTGACCTACACTTCAACATTTTATTTATCAAACATCTAATATTATTATGGATTTTAAAGACTTTTAAAAACCTTGCAATTGATAGCCTCACTCTCCACATCCCCATATTCACCAGTCATAATATCATCTTATTGAGAACTACATGAATACGTTAGTCGAGAATTGAACTTTAGAGTCTGTGCATCGTTTATGAGCACTCTGTTTTATCGACCTCCGACTTAAAGTGATATATAAATAAAGTGAAGTAAACTCACTTGATTTTCTCATCCAATTCTTCAGCTTGAATATTCTTTGTATCTGTAACCTGTGTTTGACAGGATGTCTCCAATAGTGATTGCATTAAAAAGTTATCAATAGGGAACATTAGATCCAAGATAATATCATCTTGTGTTAGAAAGGATTGTTCTAAGATTAAACGAAGTTTAGAAATCAACTCCACTGTATGCTGCCAACAACTCCATGAACGATTTGATGAAATAGTTTGTGCAAATTCTTTTATCGGTTTTAATAATTCATATGAACATAAGGTTTGATTCAGTGTGATTTTCAAGGCTTCAAGACTTTGAATCAATTCATCTGCAGGTAGATAGTAGTAAAATAGACAATCAATATTATTCATTATGTTACTTAAATGATACGTTATGCGTAATAAATGTTAAACAGATGCGGCTTGAAACTCAAAAGTTTTAACAGTTAATACTGATCTTTGTCATATCTCTCACTGAACTATTTTCCTCAGAAGCTTGAATAACCACAAACTGATGAAATGCAGATTACTGTTAACACAATGGTACTATAGTCTGCAGTATTCACGATTCTGATCTCTGTCATAGTGAGCACATAAACGGTAGCAGAAACTCTTCTTTGTTCAATTGGTTGGCAGATTTCATTATGAGCTGACGTCAGTTAAAGAACCATTGGAAAACCTGCAGGTAGTACCGCACAGCTGTTTCAGCCTAATTTGGAACTCTTTATCGGAACGCAACCACCACAGGAGGTTTGAATCCGTGACATTCTGGTTACAAGGTGAGCTCGTAGACTCGAATAAGAAGCGGTGAGTTAGCCATCAATGCAAGGGTGACATGGAGGAGGCCTTGCGTTTAAGAGATGAAGGCGTGCGGGCAGACGTAGAGACATGTTTAAACGTTGGCAGAGAAGCGAACGCAATGGAGACGTGCAGCTAAAGCCCTATGTTCCTCCAGGAATTAAAGGAAACAATAATAAATAATAATAATAATCTTTTCATCTAGTTGACAAAAGCAACCGACTTTGTCAGGTATTAAGTGGTATCGTGACAACATTACCAATGTGGACAATTACAAATCTTCATAGTGAAGGTTATTTCTAAATATATGACTATTCAAACTGTTATCTGTGTGTGTAATTTTCTCTCTTTGCTTTCACTTAATTCATTTTATTTTCGCAGTTATAAACTCAGTTATTTTAAGTTTGTTTCAATGCTCCTCCTGATCACAATTGCAATCCATTTAGAATAACCATTTTACAGTAATATTCTAATCCTGAGTAATTTTTTGTTTCTACGCCTCTCGTAATCTGTATTCACCCCACCTAACTTACAGTTCATATTTGTTTCGGTGCTCATTTTGTTCACACCTATCGTTCATTCTGTCCCTGTGTCTCTATGCCTCTTGTAATTCATATTAAGTTAAAAATAACTATCACCTTTTATTCGCCTTTAAAATTATTATTTCTCCAGTTATCAAATATTAATTTTGCATACATTGTGACTGTTTTCTAATCCTATGCAATCTTGTCTCTAAGACCCTTGTAATCTATACACATACCTTCAAACTTTCATATCAAGTCAAAAACTATTATCACCTTCGTTACTATGTGGAATTAAACAAATGATAACTGCATAATTGTGTATTGTGTAGATGACACATTCACTGTGCTCAGAACACAATGATATAGATAGATTTTTCGAGCACATCAACTCGAAGGTAGAGGCAATTCAATTCACTTATGAATTGGAAAGTCAGGAAGGGGAACTTCCAATGTTAGATTGCAACGCAAAAAAAGAAAGAAGATGTGTTTACAGGAAACCCACACATTCAAACATATACTTGGATTTCCGATCATCCCATCTTATGTCAGTAAAAATAGGATTAGTGAAATGCTTAAATGACAGAGCACAAAAACTGAGTAGTAACAAGAGAAATCTAAGACAGGAAGTGAGACACATAAAAGAAGCCTTGAATCTTAATAATTACTCGGATAAATTAGTCAATAAATATGTAAGTAAATGTAGAAATAAAATAAATAATGATAAATAGCGATAGTAATAATTATAATAATAATGGTAACAATAATAATGATAATAATAATGGTAATAATAATAGTGATAATAATAATATTAATGACGACATCAACAATAAGGAATCTAAATCCTCACCAGTAATTCCATACAAGGAAGGAACCTCGGAAGCCTTACGCAGAATTCTTAACAAGGCAGGAATAAAGGTGGCATTCAAACGCACAAACTCAATTAGAAACAAACTTTGTCGGTAAAAGGATCCTGCGGAGCCTTTAAAGCAAAACAATTTAGTTTATCTAATACCCTGCTGGAATGACTGTCAGGTCAAATACATAGGTCAGAGTAGTTGAACAGGTGCAGTCAGTCAGACTAGCCGAGCATAACAGCCTAGCAGCAAAATCTAGATGATTTGAATTGAATGAGATAATAAGAGGTGTGGAGAGTAATTCAGCTAAACCACTCACTACATACAACTACACACATACAATCACAAAATAAGATGAATGGGATAGGATGACAGTTTTCAAATCTTATGTAACAGCTGGGTGGAGGGAGAGATTGATAACAGAAGCTTGGTTTATCGAATCAAGTGAATGAAAATACGTGTAATAGGAATGATTCAACACCTGTCCACTTGGATATCTGGGAAATTCTACTACCCCTACGACAAATAGGAGAGAACAAAGAAAACTATAAAACTCAAATTTCAAAGTCGTGTGATCAAAATTGATATGATTATAAACAATCATAAATTTTGTTTGAAACGTCATCCAGTAAATAATACTGTTTCACTGTTTAATACATCTAATAAACAAACTAATATGGAATTACTTACTACCACAGTGCTCAAGTTTTACACATATAATAATTGTATCCATGTAAGCTAATCTATATAAATGCGATTGTACAGCTGCTTTTGAGAATGAAATCGCCGAAAAGATCTCCATCTTTTCTGAAGTTCTTGTTCTTTTCAAGCTAATATTCAATATGAAACAACTAGGCATACATTTAAATTTTAAAAACAATTTTTTGCGTTCATATTTTTGCATCTTTTTTTTATATTGAGATAAGCAGATGTGAAATTGTTTTGTGGACTAAATGTATTCAAAAATTTTTATTTTTATTTCTCATAAGGCTGGTTTTACTTGAGGACTTAAAAGCTGCGGGAAATATTTCTTACAAAATTTAGTAATTTAGATAAAAATTTGGCTAAATTTAAAAATTGTGTTTACACAAAACCCAACGGGGCATTCTAAGTGATAACAGAAGGAAGATAAGGCTGCCTATTATCACCCACGATGATATTTCTAACTGTAGTGGACTGGATTATGCATAGGACTGTGCATAGGGCATGAATAGACAGGAAAACGGTGGACCGTTAAGAAAACTCTAGAAGATCTGGATTCCATGGGGGGGATGATTTGTGCTCAGTTTCACACAGGCTAGAAGACTTGCAGGTGACAAACTAACAAACTGGACGAAGAGTGGGCAACGAAGATATGATTCCAGATAAACAAAGAGAAGACGAAGGTGATGAAGATAGCCAACACACCAACCAACAGCAACGACAACGACAACAACAACCAGCACCAATCACCATCAATGGGAGATGTTTGAAAGAGGTTACCACCTTCACATATCTTGGAAGCATCGTTTAAATGACAGTCAGTCGGATCAGATGAACATAAAAGAGCTGGCGAGAATCGGGAAGGCAAGCTACACCTTAATCAACCCGAAACCAGTTTGTTTGAAAATCTTATACACTCCGCCTCAGAATAAACAACAAGATTTGGATTTTCAACATTAATGTCAAGTCAGTTAGTCAGTTATTCTATGAGGGTCAGAAACTCGGCTCACGAGTTACGAAAGGGATTTCTAACAGGTTGAAGACCTTTATCAACAACTGCCTTCGCTAGCTCCATATTGAAGTTCAAATGTTAATAAAGAATATATAACAAGAGACTCTGGCTGGCGACAAACCAACCAAGGGCCAATCGCTCAAAAAATATGCTGGAAAAGATGGAGACGGAAGGAGTGTATGTTGAGGCGTCCGTCGAATGACTTCTTGCGCAATTTAGGCCATAGCTCTAGGGGAGTTCTAATGGGAAGCGACAAGTTGGACGTTGGCGAGAGGATGACATGGAGGAGATGAGAGATTATGGGCAATCGTAGGCCTAAGTGAAGAGGACAAGAGAGACTAAAACAAAGTGGAGATATTCTGTTGTAGCCGTATGTTCTACTCGGAATCCAAGAAAGAGAAAAATAGTAGTAATAATAACGAGAAGACAGGAATATCCTGGACCGACGTGAACAACCTAGAAGACCTGGATTTCGCGAGTGGATGATTTATGTTTGATGTCACACTAAATTGAAGACTTACAGGCGAAAACCAACAAACTGGTCGAAGAAGCAGCTGGCGAAGACAGAACTCCAGGTGAACATAGACAAGACGGAGGTTATGAAAATAACCAACCAACAACAACAACAGCAGCAATATCCAGCGCGAATCACCCACCATCAACGGGAGGGATTCGAAAGAGGTTACTTCAGTCATTCACTTATCTAGGGAGCATTGTCTCAACTATACAGGCTGTCGGAACGGACGAGGATGTCAAATCGAGTGAGAATCGAGAAGGCGAGAAACACATTCATCAACCTGAAACCAATCTGGAAATCTTCGTCACTCAGCCAGCACCAACAACAAAATTCGGTAGGATTTTCAATACAAAGGTAAAGTCAGTCAGTTCTTCTATACGGATCAGAAACTTGGTGGGCGGGTCACAAAGAATATTTACAAGAGGTTGCAGACAATAATCAACAACTAACTGTCTTCGCTGTATGCTGAAGATCAGACGACCGGGCCGAAAAGAATCACCAACATGGAACTATGGGAGCAAACAAAACAAGAACCAATCCCTAACCAACAAATATGCAGGAGAAAGTGGAGATGGATTGGACACTCGCTGGCTGAGGAGGCCACTGGGTGACATCGCGTGCGCGTCAGGCCATTGCTCGAGTGGGACGTCCAAGGGTGATATGGAAGAGATCGTGTGGAGAGGAGTTGAAACAGTACGGACTAACATTGATGCAGGTGAAAAGCACATCTGAAGACAGAAGTAAGTGGAGACGTGCAGCTGAAGCCCTATGTTCCACTAGGAACCCAAGGGAGCAATAATAATAATACATTCAAAAATTTCGTTCGGTCAGTTGATAGTACCTTGGTCGGCAGTAAGTTGGTTTTAAGGAGTTTATCACAGATTGATATCAGTTGGAGAACCATTGAAAAACAGGGAGTACT